GACTGCCAAGGGAGGCAGGGCCCTCCTTCCCAGTGGACCTGGCGCAGGACAGGAGGGGGAGAGAAAAGGTGGCCGGATCTGCCTTGAGTCCCTTCCGCCACAAGTGGAGGCCCAGGGATGCAAGGGCAGGTCGTGAGGGCAAGTCTGGGTTAGTCCTTCAGGAAAGCAAAGAGAACCGTGCCTATCTGCTCTCCAAAGATAGGTGGATCCTCTGCCTCCCAAGACCAGAAAGACAGGAGTGTCCCCCATGAGATTAGATCATTGTCTCCCAGAGACCCCGGGGACACAGCAGCAGTAAAGGCCCATTAAGGAAAAACTGTTTCATGTGGTCAAGAGGATGATGGAATCTCTGACCTGGGTGGAGACCTAACATTCCAGATTGGCCTGGCTAAGGGACCCCCCCCCCCAGGAAGTCAGGCTCCTCTTCAGCCATGCTACAGAGATAGGTGGAATAATTATCCCTTTAATGGGAGATGGTAATTTTCCTTCTCAGGGTCCCACCCTGGAGCATGATGGCTCACAGGGACACAGCCACGAGTCCTAAGTCTATCCACTTTGCTGAATCGCTCAGAAAAATGTAAAGTTTCCTGTTTTGATTTCTTTGTTCTGAACATGACTCTTCTTATTCGTTAGGCTTCCCTACTTTTCCCGAAGCTCTCCTCCCCACCATGTGCTTGTTGTCGGTCACGTGGCCGGCTGACCTCCGTGCCAGCTTAACTCACACAGCGTGTGTTTTTCCTCCTCTCCTCCCGTCTCCTCTGGGCAGCTACTGAGGTTTACTGCCGGTCCACCCAAGGAGTGGGGGGTCTTGTAAACTCTAATAAAATTATTCCTGGAGCTTCTGTTTGAGTCCATTCTTGAGTTCCTTTATTAGTGAGACTAATAACCCCAAGAGAAGACCTCAGTTTCCATAATATCACCAGAGAAGTCCCTTGTCCCCTGCTATATGCTGGGGTGGACCTGCAGGGTAGGAGGTGCTCAGACACCAGGACCTGTACAATACAGTGCACAGGGACCCTCCAGGGGGCTGAGGGGAGAGGGGAAGGAGAGAGTCCACCAGAGGGAGATGCCAGAGATGTGGCAGTGACATCAGAAGACTTCTCCCTTCCCTCTAGAGCAAGAGTGCCCAGGGATTCCCAGGCCACAAGAGCATAAGGCCTCGAGGGGACGGGTGTAGAAGGGGCTACAGTAATCTGGAAGAGCCCGGCTGCTATGGACCAGGGCCACACCCTGAGTCTTCCCACCATGCTCTGTGGGATAAGGAAGCTCCTGGCCCACCTCACAAGGTCACCATGAGAATATACACGGGCATTCCACCTAAAGGGACCCCATGTTTCTCCAACCAACCAGCATCCCTTCTAGGACCCAGGGACGATAAGGGTAGCTGCTCCTCTGCTGCCCAATTTGTAAGTGTAGGCGGGCTACCCCAAGGAAGCCTACGTGAGGTCCTACCCCCAGTAGAGTCCTGGGTCATCCTTCTCTCCAGAAAACCTGATTCAGCAGGCTGGGGTGGGGGCAGTGGGCACTGCCAAGGTGAGAGGTCCCTCAGTAAAGATGGGGAGAACGTGGCTCCCAGTGTTTTTTCCATAGGAACCTCCGAGGATCAGCACACCACAAAGCCAACACCCAGGATCTCTGGAAGGTTGCTGAGCTCCCCATTATCCAGGAATGGAGGTTCTGAGGCTGTTTTCATCATTCTTCCTTCACAGATTCTGTCACCCGCCCTGCCACCCTTTCCCAACATGGCCCCCCCACACACATTGAGGTCACACCTCCTCCTCCAGGCCCACCTTCCCAGGGATCCCAGCTATGCAGCCCCTGCACCCCTAAACAGCTCATCCCAGCTCTGCCCCTCCACACCCCATGTGCAAGAAAGCCTGGGTGATTTTTCTTTGGGCTTGCACCCTGATTTAAATGGAGTTTTGAGGCACCTGCAGCCACAGGCATGAAGCTTCAGAACATAGACACATACACACCCTTGAGAGGAGACTAAGCTAAACTCAGCCTTGGAATTCAGTTCCTAACTCAGTATTCCAATTTCCTTTCTGTTATTGTGACAAACACCAGGACCAAATGTGGCCTAGGGGAGGAAAGTGTTTATTTAAACTTCCGGGTTATAGCTCATCCTTGAGGGAAACAGGGTAGGTCTATAAAGCAGAAACCGTGAAGGAAAGCATGGGTTGCTCACAGACCCATGTTCGGCTAGCTTTCTCTTATACAGCCTAGGCCTACCTGTCTAAGGAATAGTGCTGCCCACAATGGACCAGGCCCTCTTACATCAGTTAACAATCCAGACGGTTCCCCACAAACAGGCCCAAAGGCCGATCCTTCACTTGGGACTCCCTTCTCAGGTGGATCTGGGCTATGTCAAGTTGACAGTTAAAGCTAATTAGGATACTCAGTTTCCCCCTCCCTTCTCAGAAGGGGGCAGTGACTCAAGAGTACATGGGTTACCTAGAGACAGGGCTGGAATGGAAGTCAAGAATCTAGTTGAAGGCCAGACCCTCCCCTTCCCAAAGGCTGAGGTTGAGAAAGGGCCACCAACACCCTGAAGTGCCCCTGGGTTATCCAACTCTGGGGTAAAGAGGGGCCTTGGGGTGGATCACAGCCTACAGCCAAGCAGACAGAGGCTTGTGTCACACAGGCTAACTGGCGTCTGACAGACCAGGCCCCACACAGCAGGATGGCACCCCAAGTGCCCCCCAAATCCAAACTGACCTGCCCCTGTGCTGTTAGGCACTAGGCAGCCTGGAGCCACATGCCCAGGGGAAATAGGGCTCAGTGTTATGAGGAAGCCAGCCAGGGGGACACACACGCTCCAGGAGCTTGGGAGATTAAAGCCAGCCACATAAACATGACCAGGAAGTGTCTCCACTGCAGCGCTCCCGGCAGACAGCGTCCCCACAGGAATTGCCCAATGGGTCTGTTGCAATGGTTTTAAATTCTGGCGCCAGGCTGCAGATCCATGGCTGTCAGATCCAGGCCTCCTGGTCCCCCTCCACCCTGGATGCCCCAGCTACAAGCCAGAGCTCCTGGGGCCTGGGCACCGGACGGCTGTAGAGCAGAGTCTAACAGGAGAGAGATTTGTATTCAGGATTGGCTCCAAGCTGAATCTGTCATCACTCTAAGGGTGTCACTGGCTTGTCCCCAGGAAAGAGAAGATCCCCAGGAGCACCCCAAACCTGTACTACTCTTCACTCCCAGGCCCCTGTGGGCAGTTTGACTCCCCATTTTCTTTATGTGAAAGCTGGTCAGGGGGCAGGAGGGTCTGACCTACCCCTCACATGCATATCTAGTCTAAGGACCTTCCCTTTGCTCCAAGCCAGGTTGCCCTTGGATGTCCTGGCCTCTCTCCCTGCTTTCTCCCCCACTCCCCATCCCCAAGAAGGCAAAAGCAGTGCTGGCCACTCCCTGTCAGTGCCACACCTCCCCACTAAGGGTCTTCTGTGATTTTTTCCATCACACACTTCTTGTCGAATGCAAACTTCCAGAGGCCTCCGCACACCTGTGCCCTGGATCCTGCCTAGATATGGGTCCTGTTCCTCACTTTACACGTGAGAAAACTCAGGGTGAGGATGCAGAGGCCCACACCCCAAGCCTCAGATGTGTTCCTTCTCATGTCCATCCTCCTTGGTCTGGACAAGAGCCAGACTACTCCCCCATGTCCCCCACAGCCCAGCAGGGTTCCTCTCCCGTACCTCAGCTGTGTTCTGACCAGCCCAGCCCAAGTCGCCCAGCTCCACTGGGACATGGATCAGGCCCAGCCCCGGAGCCCTGCGGACAGCCACAGCTGCCAGGACCTCCCCGGCCTCTTCAGAGCAGAAGACCCTGGGAAACCTGGGATTGTCAAAGTATCGGGGACCCACCCTCAAAAGGACGGCTTTCCATCATCAGTCCTCAGAGCAGGACTCCTAAAGGCCCCTGTCTCCCACCCTGGGGTCCCTTGGCCCCATGTCTCAGAGAACACTTCAACTCAAAACAGTTCAAGTTAGCCAAGCATCCACCTGGCCCAGATGGGACAGGAGAGCCCAGCCTGGAGGCCAAGCTCCTCTCAAGCCTGGGCCCTGTCTGTGAACACTGGGGAGTATTTTACCCCCTTCATGGGCAGCCAAGCTCAGCTATGAAGAGGATGCAACTCCCTCCAGCCCAGGGTCTCCTCGGCCTACCTCTCAGAGCCAGCCCTGATTTTCCCACAAACACTCTGACTTCCCTGGCCCTCAGCAGCATGTGGCCTTCTTGCTGTGGTGCTGCTGGGCAGTGCTGGCCTGGGCTCCACACTCACCTCACTGCCACCAAACCATGACGCGAAGCACACGCTTCCGCAAGGTTCAGAGGTGAGCCACGGTTCAGCCACAGTCAAACCCAAGACGATGGCCAAGGCAATGTGTGTGTGTCTGCTTCTCCCACACACACACACCCCACACCCCCCACACCCCCGTCGGCCACCAAAGCAGGTTCAAAGTTTCATTGACTGAACACGTTGGGGTGGAATGTGAGTCTTCTCCCACGGAACCTGCCTTTCTTAATGGGTAATCACAGACACTCAGGTTTATATGTTAAAGGAGGTTTAGGATCATTTAATAGCTCATAAAATTTTATAGTCCCAGCTGAAACCAGTGATAACTGGCCTGCACAGTGGCTCTCCCCTCCCCCAACACCCTACCCCATTTATTGAAAAGTGCACATTTTCTCTGCAGGGGGGCCGGAAAAAAGAGAGCTGATCCATCTTTCCAGAAGGGGTGTCTCGGCCGTGCTCTCCCCTCCACACACATGCTCCTTTCCACTCCCAAGCAGACACGCAGTCCACCCAGCTGCACCGTGGGCACCACTCCCCACCCCAGCTGTGGACCCACCTCCCTCCAAGTCACAGCCGAATCTTGGGATCCACTAGAACCTGGTGAATGAATGAGCACCATATACATGAAGATGTGCTCATTCATACAGTACCTACTGTGTGCCCCGTTGGAGCCACAGAGAATGAGGACACATGCCAAGCCAGGTGTTTTTCATTTAATGTTTTATTAGTATACATTAATTACACACAGTACCGGGTTTCAGGCAGATGTGGTGGTGCATGCCTCTAATCCCAGCACTCAGAAAGCAAAGGCAGGTGGATCTCTGAAAGTTGGAGGTGGGTCTGGTCAACACAGGGAGCTCCAGGACAGCCAGGACTGCATAGTGAGACATTGTCTCCAACAACAGCAACAACAACAAACAAACAAACAAAAATAATGGGTTTCATTACAGCATTTTCCTTTTAAAATAATACTTATTTTTATGTGTATGTGCACCACATGTGTGCCTGGTGCCTGGAAGAGCGCTGGAGCTGGCATTAAGGATGTCTGTTAGTCATCTTGTGGGTGCTGGACACTGAATCTGAGTCCTCTGCAAAAGTGTTCTAACCCACCGAGTCACTGCTCCAGCTCCATAACATTTTCATACATGTACATGATGTGGTTTTGTTTACATTTATAAAAAAAGAAGAAGTTGGGTGTTATAGCACACACCTTTGATCGCAGCACAATGGGGAGGCAGAAGCAAGCAGATCTCTATGAGTTCAATCCCAGCCTTGTAAATCCTGGGATTCTGGGCATAGACCACCACATCTGGCTTAGGCCCAGTGTCTTCCAGGAGATAGTACACCAGGTTAGAGTTCTGTGCCCAGAAAATGGCCCTTCTGAAGATTTCTGGAAGGAAAGAAACAGGTCCTAGGGCTTCAAGGCCAGACAGGATTAGCGTAAGATGTAAGTGAGGAAAAGCCTGTGTCCTGGAGGGAACAATCACCAGCATGCTACCTGGCCTCAGAGAGCCTCAGTTTCTCCAACTTTCAAACAGAAACCACATCAACATCAGCTTCATGGAGTCAGCGTGTGGATAAAATGTAGTAGAGCCCTCATTAACAGATGAAAAACAGTATGGTCTACCCACACACTGGAATATTACTTATCCACAAAAATTAGTGTGGAGGTTTGAATAATAATACCCCCCACAGACTCACAGATTTGAATGCTTGGTCACCAGGGAGTGGCACTGTTTGAAAGGGTTAGGAGGTGTGGCCTTGTTGAAGTATGTCACTGGGGGTGGGCTTTGACGTTAAAGCCCACACCAGGCCCAGTGGCACTCTCTCTTCCTGCTGCCTGCTGATCCAGATGGAGCACCACGTCTACCTGTATGTCACCGTGCTCCCTGTCATGATAATGGACTAAACCTCTGAAACTGTAAGCCAGCCCCAATTAAATGCTTTCTTTTAAATAAGAGCTGCCATGGTCATGGTGTCTCTTCACAGCAATGGAACACTGACTAAGACAGGTAGTGAGACTCTAACTTCTACCACAGCATAGGTAAACCTTAAAAATGCGGTGCTTAGTGATATAAGCCAGACACAAGAGGCCACCTAGTAAATGGTTCCATGTACATGGGAAAAGCAGAATAACCTGGTCCACACATACAGCATGGTGGGGGACTCCAGGCACTGAGAGAAGACATACACAGGAGTGGCTGGATTCCCACACATGGCTTTCTTTCATTCTTTCTTTTGCTTTTGTTTTTGTGTTTGTTCCTTTTTTGACAGGGTGTCTTGTAGCCTAAGCTAGCCTCAAACTTCCTGTATTGCCTAAGATAACCTCTTCTGATCCTCCTACCTTTGCTTCTGGAATGCTGGGGTTACAGTCACATGCCCAACTGATATGATACTAGGTGTGGAACCCAGGGCTTTGTGCAGGCTAGGAAGCGATCTGCTAAGTTAGTCATATCCCAGGTATGACTTTCTTGCAGAGTGTTGAAAATGCACTAGAACTAGACAGAGGTGCTGGCCATACCACCCTGTGTACCTACCACTGTGTGCTGCTGAATCCCACTGAACGGCACGCTTGATAGAGCTCATTTGGGGTCGCACAGATTCCATCTCCATCAGAAGAGGCTTTAATGAGGAAAGTACATTCAGATAAACACAGTCCAGGAGAAGCACTCAGCAGGCCTTGGCCTTCTGACACTCGCTGCATGCTGGCCAGGGCATGATTGGGTCTGAACTTGAGGCTCCAGGGTAAGTGGATACAGCAGGTGGGGGGCGGGAAGCTTGGTACTCTGGGCAGTGGCTGGTGGATCCTCCCTCCTAGGCTATGGGTAAAATTCGGTCAAATCAAGGTCACTCACTTGCAGGAGGACAAGTTCTAGACAGCTATGGTCAGCTTGAACTTCAAGCTCTCAGGTATGCTGGCTGTGGGTACCAGTGACTTCTCCAGGTAATCCAACCCATGGGAAGAAGGTAGAGCTGGGGAGCCCCTTCCCTCCAGCCACTCCCCTGCCTTTCCTAGACACCCCCAGACTCATCCCCACCCAGAGAGGGGGGACTCAGGGTGTATTGCTACCTGCCTAAGGGGAAGGCCTGCACAGCCAGTGGCCACCATGGAAACGACTGCCACACTGGAGTGTGGTCCCAGCTTGCTTTCTCAGCATCTCTCATACCCACTCCCAAGTTTCTGCTGACCAGTCACGTGCTGGCCTAGCCTCCTGGGCTTTTGTCCATCAGGGGAAAGATTGTTTTCAAAGCCGCAGACCCTTCATCTCTTGCTACACGGACGCACCCACGCCTGCACAGTGAGGCTGAATGCCAACATCAGCCTCAGACACCAGGGAGCAAAGCAAGAGGGAAGCCAGTTAGACAGTGGGGCACTGCCCCCGAGACTGATGGGCAGCCAGGCCTCGGGGTTCTGGGCTCAGAGGAGCCATACCATGCTGGGATCCTGTGCCTGTGTCTCAGACCTCCTAGGTCTTTGGGACCTGCAGAGGTTAGAACCCACACTTGGCTGGCAAGAAGCATGGCTCCCTGGAGTCTGAGGTTCAGACACACCACAGTGCAGCCAACGTGGAAATGTGAAGACGCACATCCCAGTAGTGACGTCACCCCACTGCACTAGGGATCAGAGCGGGGGTCTGCCGAGCGCCATCCTCCCATTTCCCCAGGGAAAGTTTAGGGTGGTTTTTGCTTTCTTTTGATCTGTTTCTTGGTCCACAGCAACACTGTGAGGGAGACACCCATGTGCTGCAAGGGGCCAGCGTTCCTGAGGATGAATCCTGGACAGGAACCTGGTTGATGAAGGACAGGTGCTGAGAGAGGCCACCTCACAGGGCCATTGGAGCCACACTCCAGCCCCTGGCAGCCAGTGCCACGCCACAGCTCAAAGCATGAAGCAGGAATTTGTTTCCTGCTGCCTGTCACTTCAGAAGCCAATGAGCAAAGATGTAATCAACTCCTTAAATTGTTCTTTATCCTGGGAGCTGGTGATCTGAGAAGACAGCTAGACGGCTCAGCAGGTAGAAGCTTGCACCCACGCTTAACCACCTACCTGACTTCAGTGTGTGGAGCTCAGAGAGCAGAAGGAGAGAAATGACCTCCACAAGTTGTCTTCTGGTCTCTACACAGGCACATTGTGACGAATGCAGCCATGCTCAATCAATCAATCAATCAAGAGAATGTTTTTAAAACAAAATCTGTCTTCCATCTTCAGGCAGCAGGCAAAGGGGATGTGGGACCAGTCTATCAGTCCAGCATTCACCCTAGCCCCACTGATCAGGTGGCCAGCCACATTTCTAAGACCCTTGGTGTCTTTGCCTCTCTCATGATCATCCCCTGCTCTCTCCCCTTATCCTGTGGTTATTTAGGCTCAGGTACAGCTTGTTTTTGTTGTTGTTTGTTTGTTTGTTTTGTATTATTATTTGCTTTGAGGCTGGGTCTTACTATGTAGCTCAGGCTGGCCTAGAACTCATTAGATAGACCAAGTCTGCTTAGAACTCACTATGTAGACCAGGCTGGCCTCAAACTGGCAGAGATGACTTGCCTCTGCCTCCCCAATGCTGGGATTAATGGCGTGTGCTGATACCAATGAACCTTGAACTCCTCCAGGATATCTGGACTGGAAGGATTAACTCAAAACAAGCTTACCATTACCAGTGTGTATGCGCTAAGCTGGAAATCAAACTCTTCCTCCAAAACAGAATTTAGGTGTGCCTTTAGAATACAGAATACAAGGTGGTGGTGCACGCCTTTAATCCCAGCACTCGGGAGGCAGAGGCAGGCAGATCTCTGTGAGTTCGAGGCCAGCCTGATCTACAGAGTGAGTTCCAGGAAAGGCGCAAAACAACACAGAGAAACCTTGTCTCGGAAAACCAAAAAAAAAAAAAAAAAAAAAAAACAGAATACAAAAGTGAGCCTATCCATCCCTCTGCCTCCACCCAAGCTGTACTGTCCCTGAGAAAACTCTAGAGACACCAATGGCTAAGCTTGTTCTCATCTACACAGAGCAGAGGTCCTTCATCCTCCTCAATGCCATCCACTGCCCACAGCAGGGTCCCAGACCTCTTTCCTTAGGAGCATTTAAGTGGTGTGGTCTCTGATTTTGTGTTCTTTCTCTTCTGGTCTCCCCCCACCAGAACTCTGCTCCAGGCCCCAATTTCTTGTTGCCCTGAGGCTAGATCTGCGTGCCTCAAGTGTCTATGGATGGTGACCAGATGTTGGATTGTAAACACACTGAAGCTCAGATCTGAGTGTGAGTCTCGGTCCTGCTCCCGGGTTGCTTGTGACCCTGCGGGCTAACCCAAATGCTGCTTCCCTCCCCAAACTCAACCCTCCCGACCCCACTAGAAAGCGAGGCCTAGGACGCCCCTGGGCTCTCTTGGGAGAGGCTCGGGTGTTGCACAAGTGCATTGTAGGCTCTGAAATGATCCAATTTCAGAGGAGGAGAGAGAGGGAAAGAGAAGAGGGTGGTGGGTCCTGCACCAGCCCTGCCGCAGTTCTGCCCCTGGGGATGCCGCCTGGCCACCACAGGGACATGACTGAATGCCAGAGGGAGCTTTCTTCAAGACAGCCATTTCATCCTTCTTCCTCCTTTTTGTGTTCTGAGAGATCCCCCAATAAAAGAGGTCTATTATTTTCTGTCCCATCCATATTCCAGTTAGAGCACGTCGCAGCTAAATGACTCGGGCGTGGAACAGCTCCGATGTTCGGAGAACGCTGTGAGGCAGGCTCCCTCTCCCAGCAGCAGGCTTTAGCTGTGGTAGCCTGCCACAGCATTCTGTCCATGGGGCCACAGGCTCTGTTCTCCTCTGTCCTGGTCCCTCAGCCCCTGCAGGTTGGCAGACACTCACACCCGCCCAACCCTCTTCCATCATGGTTAGGCACCACGAGACTTTTCATTTCCAAGTCTGGTTTACCAGAGATGCAGAGTGAAAAATGACCCAATAACCCAGTAAATCCAAGTATCTCCGCGCGAAACACAATAACCACGGGGGGACTGCCAGTTTCAGCCAGATAGATTAGGCCAGCTTCAGTGGCCCTGTGTGACTGGGAAGGGACCCTGCAAGGGCTCACTCACCCTGCCAGTCACCAAGTGAGTCATGCTGGGGCTGGAGCAAGCCACCCCTCCAATCCTGGCAAGGGCTGAGACGGCAGTGAAGCTGCTCTGTCCCTTGGCCTGGGGTCTGGGGTCTGTGAAGCCAGGGAACCAATGAAGCCTGGCAAAAGGTGCAAGCCGAGCACATTCACATGGTCCCCTATTTCCTGCAGTATGCATTTGTCTACCACTCTTGAACATCAGGCTCCGGGGAGAGTCACGAAGGTGAGGAAGGCATAGGGTATGGGGTAGGAGCACAGGGATCTCAAAGGTGACATCATGTTGGGGATTTAGCTCAGTAGTAGAGCACTTGCCTAGCAAGCACAAAGCCCTGGATTTGATCCTCAGCTCAAAAAAAAAAAAAAAAAAAAAAATTTAGTTTGAGCCGGGCAGTAGTGGCGCCTGCCTTTAGCCTTTAATCCCAGCACTCGGGAGGCAGAGCCAGGCGGATCTTTGTGAGTTCGAGTCTAGCCTGGGCTACAGAGCAAGTTCCAGGAAAGGTGCAAAGCTACACAGAGAAACCCTGTCTCGGGGGGGGGGGGTGGTGACATCACATGGACACAGAAGTGGGCAGGGCCCGGTAAGCCCCAGTGGCTCCCGATCCTGCTGCACAGAAGAGTCAGGGGACCCAGGCCCCACCTGCCCCCAGACATTTGGGCTTCCCAGTCTGCACTGAACTTGGATAGGGGACTCTAAGCTGCTCTGGGAAGTCCATAAGACCCATCCCTAGGACACCTGAGGCTTAGGCCTTATCATGCATCCCTGCTGGGTTCCTGACTTCCAGGACCCTTGGAGAGGACTTGAAGCTACAAAGGAGCCAAGAAAATCAGCCACTGGTACCTCAAGAGGGGCCCAAAGCCAGAGCCAGACAGCTGTTTTCATGACCCTCCCTACTGAGACACACACACACACACACACACACACACACACACACACACACACACACACTTCCACACATGTGTCAGGTCAGGTTAGTCTTTTCCCCAACTAAGCACGGCCCTCAACAAGGTGTCTGGGCTCTGGGTCTGCCAGGCACTGATACCACAGATAGCCTGGAAGGGCCACACCTTAACCGGGATACAGGGAGTCGTGACAGGCCTGGAGTGTCTGATACTCAGCATCCTTCCACCAGAAGAGAGCTCTGTGGTTGCCAGGTGAATTAGTCAGGGTTCTCTAGAGGAATAGAACTCTCTCTCTCTCTCTCTCTCTCTCTCTCTCTGTGTGTGTGTGTGTGTGTGTGTGTGTGTGTGTGTGTGTGTGTAATTTATTAGGGTGGCTTACAAATAGTGGTCCAGCTAGTTCAACAATGACTGTCTACCAATGGAAAGTCCAAGAATCCAGTAGTTGTTGAGTTCATGCATCTGGATGTCTCAGCTGGTCTTCAGTATATGCTGGAATCCAATGAAGGAAAGGAATGGACTTGCCAGCCAGAGAAAGCAGCAAAGAGCAAAAGTTTCCTTCTTTCATGTCCTTATATAGGCTACTACCAGCATTATGGCCCAGATTAAAGGTGGCTCTTCCCACCTCAAAA